CATAGAGCTCACAAACGTCCGACCATAGTGCATGAGCGTCTTTGTGGTTCCTCACCCTATTGAACACATCTTTGCAAAGGCCTCTAAAGATGGTGTTGCGAGCCTTTGCATTCCATTTCTCGTAATTTACCTCATCACCTTGTAGGTGCGTAGGATCCCGAGGTTTTGGGAATCCTTGTGAGGCGGCTCTAAGTATACCAACATCTAGAGCTTCTAGATACGCCTTCATGTGGATTTTCCAATATGGAAAATCATCCCCCTCAAAGATAGGAGGAGGTCCATCCCCGTGAGACATCTTTCTCTAGGCGGTTAAGCCTAAATAGGTGAGCACGAGGCTCCGATACCAATTGAAAGGATCAAGATGCCCAAGAGGGGGGGTGAATTGGGGTAATTCTAAATTTCTTTGCAATAATTAAAACCTATGGTTAGCCCAATTAACCCCTTGTGCCTAAAAAATGTTTCTAATTGTTCTACCGCACAAAAGCTTGCAACCTAAGTTTCAATCCTACTCTAACATGGCAATTCTATGAATGTAAAGACAAGAATTGAATTGCTCAAAGTAAATGCTCAAAGTAAATATTCAAAGTAAATACTCAAAGTAAATGCTCAAAGTAAATAGAGAAGGGGAACGCGGCGATGCTTTGCCGAGGTATCGGAGAGTCATCACTCCCCACTAGTCCTCGTTGGAGCACCCGCGCAAGGGTGTAGCTCCTCCTTGATCCACGCAAGGATCAAATGCTCTCTACGGGTTGATTCTTCGACACTCCGTCGCGGTGAATCACCCACAACCGCTCACAACTTGAGTTGGGTCATCCACAAGCTCTCCGGATGATCACCAAGCTCCCGATCACCACCAAGCTGTTTAGGTGATGGCGATCACCAAGAGTAACAAGCACGGACTCTCACTTGACCACGACAAGCCTAGAGAGAAGGGTGGATGCACACTTTGCTACTCTTGATCTCACTAATGAGGGCTCTTTTTGGGATTCTCAAATCTCAATCACCTCACTAGGACCTTGCTCTTCTTGGCACTCTCTAAGGTGTTTATCAGCTGTTGCAATGAGCAAAAGTACCCCCACACACGAGTGGAGGTTGTATTTATAACACCGGCTGAAAAACGAACCGTTATGTGCCTCTGCGGGGTGACCAGACGCTCCGGTCATGTTGACCGAACGCTTTGGTCAGTTCACCCCGAACTCCAGTGTTTACAGTGTGATCGGACGCTGGCCAGCGTCCGGTCAGCACTGACCGGACACGTCCGGTCGCAATTTTCCCTCTCTGGAACCTTACTGGAGTCGACCGGACGCTGGCTCTCAGCGTCCGGTCACTTGACCTCTCAGCGTCCGGTCGCACCAAACATTTTCACCTTGGTCAAATGCACTGACCGGACTCTGCGCCAGCGTCCGGTCAAACCGGAACCAGCGTCCGGTCAGTATTTGACCCTCTATTCACTTCCAACTCTCGATCATACGTGAATGAAGTTTGCTCCAATGGATCTTAGACATATTTAGGAGCTACCTATTGCTAGTTTTAACAAGTGTGCACCACACCTAACTCACTAGACTCACCTAGGTCAAGCTATCCGTCCATACCCCCCTTAATAGTATGGCCAAAGGAAAAACAAAATCCTAAACTACTCTAAGTGTCTCTCCAACTCTAAACGACACTTAGAACTAGTCTATCCTTAACCTTGCCGTTTATCCTTTGAAAACCGAAACAATTTCCATCGTAGGAGCATGACCACCATAATTGCCCGATCGATCTTCATTACCGTGACCTAACTTAATTGCCTCTGCAAAACACACGTTAGTCACAGTAATCACGTATTGTCATTAATCACCGAAACCCAACTAGGGGCCTAAATGCTTTCAGACCCCGAGCGATCAATGTTCAGCAAACCTCTGAGTTTCTTCCAAACTCCTATCAAATTCCATACTGCTCTAGCCGAATCACAAGAAAATGTCATGTGTTTAATATCTTCTCCTCCATTATGGCACACCGGATGTGGCAGAACCATCAGAAATAACACGCTTTCAGAGGTGCTCGTCTTCCACTAGACACTAAGCACCCCGAAAATTAGCTACATCGGGCAGTTCCGTCGAGCACACCCCAAGGGAGAACTCGAACAATCCACGTTTTTCACCCAGGATCCAATAATGAGAACGAGTTTACAATACTTAGTCCATTCCATACAACAAGAGTTCTCAGAAATATATTATTACAATACCAAGTTTGATGATTCGCTTGGCTGGACGTTCTTTGAACTTACCCCAATATACAGTGATTATTATAAAGAAATGAAGAACCAACAATTGAGATAAGGCTTGAGCTGTTGTGCAAATGATCACTCCATCAGTCCGAGTGCATGTCAAACCCTTGAGCTCTTTCTGGATAAGTACTACTTAGTACTCTGATTTAAAAGACTAAACTGCTTGGATTATTCTGCATGTGTCTGTATTCAGACTTCTACTCTATCAGCTTGATCAGCCTGAATGTGAATTAATAGGCATAGAAGGTAAATTGCTTGGTGTAGCAACAAAGAATAATTAATTAGAGATAATTCATTATGTTTGGTGATAGGACTAAATGTTACTGCTTCACAACAGGCATAATCTTAATTCAGAGTCTAATCATAATCTGAGCAAAGTTGGTTGATCCTGTGTGATTAGTTGATTACTGATTAGTGTCATTCAGTTACTCCTATGTTTTAGGTGTTTCCTAATACCTGCAGTTTTGTGTTGCTGAAGCTAAACGCATGCACCTTTTCTTTGTTTATTTTTATGTTTTGTTGTGAAGCTATAATTCGTACAGAAACCATGGTGATGAAATACTAAAAATGTTAATTCCAGATTCGATTTCGCTATTATTTCCTATATATACAATACTAAAAATGTTAATTCCAGATTCGATTTGGCTATTATTTCCTATATATACGTTCCCTTTACCTTACTGTAGATTTATTATAGATCGACCACTTCAATGTCATTACTTGCACATTCAGTATATATGTGCATGTCTCTATGCATTTCCTTTTATGCTCATTTTTAAGTGCTGACAGTGTCTGCGTGTCAAGATTGTGCAAGTAATGACACCCATATTTCAATTGATGCTCATTCAGGAATGGGCAAGGTGCCTAGAATGTTCAAGGAGAGGGTAAAGGAGCAAGAACAGGGTCTATGGAAGTTTTTAGATCCCCATTTAGCAAAATCTTGTTGCCATCAAGGATGCAGTTACCCAAGAAAATAATTGATGCCATATTTTTTTCAGTATTGTTGATTGAAGCAAAATCTTGTTGTCATTGAGGATGCAATTACCCAAGAAAATAAGTGATGCCATATTTTTTCAGTATTATTGTTTTTTTATTCTAAGTTTAGATACAAATTCAAGAAAAAGTATCATATAGAAATTTACTAATACAAAAGTATTTTTATAGCATTTTTTTATTTTAAAGATTTTTTTAGACACGTGTGTGCCGCACGTACATCTCTACTAGTAACAGCAAAAACAGGAAAAAAAAATGATTTACTGAACATCCTCAATCTACCTTGGGCCTTCATTTCCAGCATCACGAATTCCATTTCTGATTCTTACAGGTGGAGCCATGACATGAGCCGATGAAGCAGTTATTTCTCCTGTGCTATTTTCCAGTCCATGTAAATGTGAGATCTTGGTTTAACAAATTAAGAAGAAAGAAGAAGAAGCATGGGCGGATTCAGAGGGTATTCCCCGTATTCCCAGGAATACCCAACTATTTTAGCACACTTCTATGTATATATGTGTATATACTTGTATATGTATATGTATAATGCCATATTTTGTAGTATTTTCACTCATTGAAGCCCAAAACAGTAAAAAAACAGCCTCTCAAATTGGCTCATATTTTGTAGTATTTTCACTCATTGCAGGTAAAAACAACTAATTTTTTTTATTGACGTGGAAGTAGGAATACCCAAATTTGGAATCCTGGCTCCGCCACTGAGAAGAAGAGAGGACTTGTTGGACGCCCGATGCCAGTTTTTGTCTTCACCGATGCGCAGTTTTTCCACAGGGTAACAAAGTTCGTTCACTATTATCATTGCATTATCATCATCATCATCATCCAGAAGGGCATGGGCATGCATTTTCAAAAGAAAATGAGGACGCAAACGCCAGGGTCAGTCTGGAGAGATTTTTCGCCGCGCGGAAGGGAAGCAGAACCCGGAGCGGGTGAGCGCCTGGAGACGCACGCACGTACTGTATGCGTTTGGAAAAACAAGTAAACAACCGCATGCCATTGCCATGCCGCGGCGCCGTCGCTTCCACGGAACGGACGAGGCGACGACGGAGACTCTAAAATTCAGGATCGTGTGCACGGTTTTCAGCCTTATTCAGTATTCTGTCTGTCCAGTGAACAAACGGAGAAATCGCTGGCCACAGGCCCACACCACACCACACCCGGGTGCTGGATTTATTTGTCCGCAGCTGACCCCGGCGACTCCCTTCCCTTGGTAGTGGTGGGGAAGCATTGCTCCCAGAGCATATACCGGACACTGCAGTCGTGGAGGCCATGTAAGCACTCACACGATTGGTGCTGCGAGCATATCAACATGCACGGACACACTGTTATTAGTTTCCCGGAACCTTCAACTCCAAAAACAGACAGCTAAAACAGAGCCGGAACTGGGGACATGCGAATTCGATGCTCCTGGTTTGAGACCCTTCTTCTACGTCCGATCCAACGGTCCTCGAGCCGCCTCCATGATCCGAAGCTCCATCGCGGCCGTCGAAGGCGGGCAGAGCCGCAGCACACTGCAGCAGGAGCAGAATGCCCGGGCGTAGAGGTTTCTGCGGCAAGTGCGTGGCGGAACTGTCCTGGGAACAAATTCCGGTCCAAGTATCTGACCGTGACCGCAGCTGCGTGCGTGCGTGCGTCAGACGCCCTCTTTTCACAACCTCCCACACCGCGCAGACGCGAACAAGAACCACCACCACGGCACCACCTATTCTTTCTCCTCCTCCCGATGCAGACCGCCGTGGTGGTGGTGGTGGCGCTGCTGCTCCCCCTCTCCGCCTTGCTGCGCTTAGGCTGCTTAGCCACGGCCACGGCCGCCGCCGACACCAACCGGACCAGCAGCGGCAACGACACGAGCTGCGCGCCGGCGAGATGCGGAGGCCTGAACATCACGTACCCGTTCTCGCTCGCCGGCGTGCATCCGTTGGAGTGCGGCTACCCGGCCTTCGGGCTGACATGCGACGCTGCTGCTGGCAGGGCCTACCTCAGCAGGACGTTCAGGGTGAACCTGTACCGCGTGCTCAGCATATTCTACGACAACCGTTCCATGCTTGTGGCAGTGGAGACCGCCTTCTCCGGCGACGGGGCGTGTAGAATCCCGGACTTCAACGTGTCCTCTGGCCTCGGCCTCTTCACGGTCAACATCAGCGCCACCAACAGGGACGACCTCACCTTCGTCTACAACTGCAAGATTCCTCGCAACGAGCTGCTGACAGGGCCATGTGCCAAGCACGCAGTTGGGGCTTACATCTCCGAGAGGCCCGGCGACGTGGAGAACAGCCGGCCGCAGTGGGTTCAGGCGAACTGCAGCTCCGCGAGCGTGCCGGTGCGCGGGTTCCAAGATGGGATGAACCTGACTCGTGAGTCCGTGTACGAGTCATTGATCAGCGATGGTTTCCTCCTGGACTGGCCGACGCTTGGAGACTGCGATGCGTGCAAACTGAAAGGAGGGCAGTGCAGGTTCTTCGAGCTTTCCTTCCAATGCGTCAATTCGTCGACTTCTTCTCGTGGTAAGCATCGTCTACTACCTTGTGCTGGAGACTTGGAGTACTTTGGATTGGAGAAGCAAAACATTAATCCTGGATTATATTATAAGACTGAATTTGACATTCATAAAGATAAAATTATTTGCTAATTAGAGATAAAAACTTCAAATAGACCACGCCATTTGTCGTCACCACATGTCCGCACTCCACAGCAGCACAGCTTCATCGCAAGTTTGCTGGTTGCCCGTTGACCTTCCTGAATCCTAATCCTATATGCAAGTTTACAAGGTCAGGAACATTATTAATATTTATTGCTAATAAGAAAACTCAAATAGATTACTTTCAGCTTAGTATATTGAACTAGTGTTTACCCTTGGATATTAGAATTCTCAGGATCTACATCCAGTTGGCATGTGCTTCGCTTTAGTAGCCCTCAGTGGTCCTTGACAAAAGGCGCTAATTATGGTGGATATGTACTATTTTGTCAGTTGTCTTTACATTCAGCTTGTTCCTCTTTGCGCTTTGGATCTCTCTGCTGATGAACTACTGATAGGTTGGGAAAGAACTCTTGCTGCCACCGCTGCCAAATTTGGGGCCTGGGCAGTGGGCACCATAGGTGAACCACCATTTAATTGGTTCCATTGTGCCCGCATCAAGTTTAATAGCAGGAAGTGCAAACATTCCCTCTCATAACAAAATCAATTTTTTTCCGAGAACGTGCGTAGCACGTATTTCATTAAGAAGAAGCGATAGAATACAAACGACGAGCCTAAAGAGCGAGTTGCCCTAAAGGCGCCCTACAACTACCGGGTTTACATTAAGCTGATATTACATAGCGAGTTTGCGACTTTAGTCCAAAGCCTGGGCAAGCGGCTTAGTCCGAAATGTCCAGCACACGTCCCCTCGTTGCTCTCGCCTTCGGGAACAGCTCCCGCATAGCAGCGCGCTTGGAGGAGGGAAGCGGCTCAGTGAACGTCTCATGGAACTTAGTCGCGATGGACTCTGCACAGCGTTCGCCGGCTGACGCTGCCACTTGTTGAGGAGGACCCGGTTGGCCTGCTTTTCTGGATTCGGATCACGGTAAGCCGACTTTGTGGCGAGCCGATTGCTTCGTCTTGGCACCAGCGTGGAGTCATCAAGTCTCGATATGCGCAGTCGTGGAGGCGAGGTGACAAGGCACTCCTGCAGCGGTAACTTGAGGGAAGCAATGAAGTCTGTGAGCGCTGCCTGCTGGCCAGAACGCGACCCGTCGGTGAGGACGACTGTAGATGATCCGGCAGCAGGCGAAGCGACTTGGGTTATCGGCGTAGCCGGCCCAACCTGCTCAGCACCCATTCCAGCTCCCACGGGTGCTCGGCTTGGCTCCCCAGCACATTAACCTGGCCCAGCCCAGTCGTCTGAATTGACGAGCGGCGTCTGCAGCGGTAGCTTTATTGCTTCCAGGAATGGCGGCACGGAAGACAGCATCAGCTCTGGTCCCTGTCCGACAATAGGCAGAGGCGCATGGTCCGGCGCAGGTACAGCTGGTGAGCCGAGCCCTCCGAGAGGCATTCCGCCAGGCGAAGGTTGGCCAGCACCTATGCTTGGTGATTGAGGCACCGGAGATTGCGGCCTGGAGGGCGCCTGGGTGGGTGCAGGCGAAAAGTTTGAGTTTGGGTCGACGGTGGTGACTGGGGCAGACAGTGGGCGAAGCGCGGGCCACACTTGCGACTCGTGGCACAAAGCCACCAAGTCCGGGGTTGATGGTTCCTGTCTTCCGTCCCCCTGCATGACGTCCGGCTCGTCGTCGACATTTGCAGGATCCGGTGTTCCCTGCGCTATGCGGCAACCCACATGGGCGGCATCAGCCAGGCACAGAGGATCAAAACGCGGCGGGTTTCCATGCGCGCGGGCGCATCGACGATTTCGAACTCATCCTCCGTCGTGGGTGCCCCCGACAGATGCTGCTCGGCTGATGCAATGGTCAGTGCCGCGTCACGGCGACTGCCCTTTTTTGCTTTACGACCGAAACTTCGCGCTCCAAATTCTGTTTTGTCGGAGCATTTGAATTCTCCAATCCTAACGGCTTTGGAGGCGAGGAATGTGGGAGCCCATCCTGGGTCCAGCGCCGTTGTGGGCCCTCCCTTGGCGCCGGACGATCCCCCGCCGAATTCCCTCCCCCCTGGCCGGAAGCGCCGTGGGCGGGAAGTGCGCCAATCCAGCCCTTCATCGTCAGGCGCTTCATCGTCGGAGGAGGACGGTGGAGTGCGCCAATCCAGCCCTTCAATCGCACGAATCCGAACTGGATACTGCAGGACCTGGAGCTCCGAGTGGATGATCTCGCGCTCCCGGAGGTACAACGGCAGCTCAACGACGAACGGGACTTCAGGCTCCGGCACGGCGATCACGGACTCTTGCGGAATCAAACCCGGGTGAAGGCTGTGATGTGACCGTGGATCCGGGGTAAGTCTCCTCGCATTTACGTAGTTGCACCGCAGCAGGGTAGACGTCGGTACCGTGGTGTTGTTGGCGTCGTGGTGGCGATGCAGTGGACCGGTGGTGACGCTGCAAAGGCGATGGCGGTGCGGTGGGGCATCCTGTCGCTGGCAGCACTCCTTTAGATCGGATTAGGTTTCTCTGTGGTGGGATTGCGGCGGCTCCAGTCAACTTCGTTCGTCGAGCCCAGTTCCCCACTCCTCTATTTATAGTGCTGTGTGACAGGGGCCCACCAACCACATTAGGGTTGAGCGCCCCTGATCAGGGCGCAGATCTAAGGGCCCAATAGACCGTTGGGGCTATTGGTGGAGATCAACTAACATTCTCCCTCTTGATCTCATTACTATCTTTCAATTTCATATCATTTACTTTTGTTCATTCCATTACAGATTAGCGCATAGAGCATGTCTTATCGTCACGGTCCATTGCCGATGGATTTAACAGCTACAACACACTACTCTGTTCCTTTAAACCTATGCTAACTACATGTTCTCTGAACACCATGTTCTCTAAACACGTTGGGTGGTAAGCATTTTGTAAGCGGATCCACGAGCATCTTTTCTGTACTTATATGCTTAAGACTTATGACTTGATCTCGGACTTTATCTTTCACAACATAATACTCTATGTCAATGTGTTTGGCAGCACCACTTGACTTATGTTGTGAGCATACTGTACTGCCAGATTATTATCGCAGTATAACTTAAGTGGTCTATAGATGTCGTCAACCACCTTCAAACCGGGTATGAACTTCTTTAGCCAGTTCACCTGCCCCGTTGCCTCATAACACGCTACAACTGTCATACATTATGGACGATGTAGTGACGGTTTGCTTTGAGCTTTTTCATGAAATAGCTCCCCTTTGCGAGAGTGAATACATATCCCGACGTGAATTTTTTATCATCTCCTGCATAATCAGAATCTGAATATCTCACTATATGGAGTGAATCAGATCTTCTATACGTCGTCATAAGGCATTTCGTTCTTTGCAAATAATGCAAGACTTTCTTTACCAATTTCCAGTATTCTGTTCTAGGATTGCTCTGGAATCTGCCAAGTAACCCGGTAACAAATGCCAAGTCAGGGCATGTACATACTTGAGCATATTGCAAGCTTCCGACAACTAAAGCATATGGAACCACTTTCATTTGATCGATCTTATATTGGTTCCTGGGGCATTTAAAATCCCCATATCTGTCGCCCTTGACTATAGGAGTAGGCGAGGGACTATATTTGTGCTTATAGAATTTCTTTAAGATCTTTTCTATGTATGTCTTTTGTGACAGTTCTAATATCCCTTTACTTCTATCTCGGTGAATCTCGATCCCTAGAACGAACGAAGCCTCACCAAGATCTTTCATATCAAATTTTGAGGACAAAAACTTCTTTGTCTTTAGTAATAGACTAACATCACTATTAGCAAATAAGATATCATCCACATATAGGACAAGGAAGATAAACTTTTCATTCTTAAACTTTGTATAGGCACAATTGTCCTCTATATTCTCTTTAAACCCAAAATTCTTTATTGTCTGATCAAACTTTAAGTACCACTGTCTTGAAGCTTGTTTTAATCCATAAATGGTTTTTCTTTAGACGGCATCCCATTCGTTCTTTTCCTTCCAAGACAAAACCTTTCGGTTGTGCCATGTAAACATTTTTCTCCAAGTCCCCGTTGAGAAATGTCGTCTTTACATCCATCTGATGTAATTCTAAATCATAATGTGCCACTAATGCCATTATGATTCTGAAGGAATCCATACATAAGACTGGAGAAAAAGTCTCATTGTAATCAATCCCTTCTCTTTACGTAAAGTCTTTTGCCACAAGTCTCGCTTTATATCTCTCTATATTTCCTTGAGAGTCAAGTTTTGTTTTGTAGACCAATTTATAGCCTACTGCTTTAGCTCCTTTAGGAATTATTTCCAAGTCCCAAACTTTATTGGCATTCATTGATTTCATTTCATCTTCCATGGCCTGAAGCCACTTTGATGAATAATCACTTCTCATGGCTTCTTCAAATGATGTGGGATCATCCTCTATTTGAAATTCCTCAGTGTTGTACACTTCATAATCAGCAGGAATAGCTGATTTTCTAACTTTCTTAGACCCTCTAGAGGCCTCCACATTTGGCACACCTTCTGTTTGAGGCTGTTGTTGCTCCCCCTCATGTGTGGCAATAGGTTCTACAGGATCCTAAAGAACAGGTTTCTCATGGTCACTCATTGTTGCCACAGGCGGAATAACAACAGATGCTGACACCACAGTATCTTGCACTATCGGTGCAGCGACAGCAGGTAGTGAGAAAATTAGCTCATGAAACATTGGAGTGGGCGCATACACCCACTTCTCTTTAAGGTCAATTTCTCGAGCTACCATGCCCCCCTCTCATCAATTCATCCTCTAGAAAGACAGCGTGTCTCATTTTCATAAACTTTGTATGTCTCTCTGGACAGTAGAAACGAAAACCTTTTGACTTTTCTGGGTAGCCAATGAAATGGCAACTCACTGTTTTGGGATCTAGCTCCTCAATATTTGGGTTAAATACT